TATGTTTATTACTTCTTTCAATTGTTCGATCACATCTTTCATTTTTGGTCTTTGGCTTTCGTCAAGTTTCAGACAGTGTCTTGCCACGTCACATATAGCTTCAAGTTCTTCTTCTTTAAACGTTGTTAGTGTAGGATCAATCATATCTCTCAAGTTATCATTCTCCAGATACTTTGATGCCTGTTAGAAACACAAGTAAAAGTGTTAAGTTTAAGAAATATTGAGATTTGATTTTCATGTTTTGAGTTTTACCCATTTTAGAATTGATCCTTCTTCTTCTGAATCTGAGAGCTTTCCAGAGATTATCTCAAGCATTAATACTCCAAAGCTATAGACATTAGTCTCTGGTTCAGGTGGTAATGGCAATAAAGATTGGTCTAAATCACCGCTCATCGGTTTTCTCTGTTTACTCCCGGTTTGTCCGCTGAAAGGAACCTCTCCGACCTACAAAATGTAAAACGTTTTCGTAATGGGTTTGATTAAGAATCAATAACAATATTACAACAGATTTCTTGTTAAGCAAGAAAGAAAGAAAGAACTACTGAAAAAGTTTTCTTGTTAACCAAGAAAGTAAGAACCTTTGCTGCGTAATCATCTGTTAAGTAGATTGCTGATGAGACAAGTTTAGTGTGTGAGATTGGCGGATTAAGCTCATGCATATATTGCAGACAATAAGCAGTTCCCATTATTATCCTCATCCTCGCGTTCCAATCAAGATGTTCCATTTCCTTATCTGAACAAAGAAGACAAAGAACATTGGTTGGTGACAATAAAAGTAATAAGCCTAACATGATCTTGATTTGGAGACAGATTTTGATGTTTGTTACCGTGCAAATGTTCGAAAAGAGTTCCATTTGGAGCATATTCGAAAACCATCATCCTATTAAACGGTTCATCTTCTTCGCAATATCCAATTAGATTCACAAAGTTCTTATGGTTGACTCTTGACATTGTATCAATCTGCAAATTTAAGCTCTCCAAACATCAGTTAAGATTTTTGGTAAAAAGGTAAAAAAAAAAAAAAACCTCTGTTTATTTTAATTACCCTTCTGCGGTAAGTCATTTCCATAGCTCTTGTCCATTCTCTAGTTTCCAAAATCGCGGTTGAAGCAACCGCAATCTCAACGCCACTTGACAAAGTTCCTTTATAGACAGTGTAACCATCAAATGCTTCAATGATATTACTGAAATCTTCACAGGCTGTTTCTAGTTCAGACAGGTTTAGCTTAGGTACACCTGAAATTGAAATTTTTTTCTCACATTATGTTAAAACCGAAAACAGAGCAAAAATCAGTTTGTTATAACAATTTTTTTTACCAGTAACAAAAGCTTTCTGCAATTGTCCACTCAAACCAGTCTTCCATGGACCTATACTCTTCACAGCTCTTTTCCGGAAGAAGAATATAACCGCTACAATTATCAGCATCGCTATGAAAGCAGCAACACCAATAACAACATACAACCAAACGTCCTTAAACCCTTTCGATTTTTCTTCGAATTTCCTCGGTGGATCATTAGCGATGGTGTTGTTGGTAGGAGGAGAAGGAGAAGAAGGAGAGATCAATGGAGGTATTCTCTTCTTTGCATTAGTTAATGCGGGAAAAGACCCGCTGCTTCGAGGAAACACTCTGGTTACAATCTCAGGAGAAGGACTAGGCGCATCAGGCGCCGGCATAGCCGCTAAATTGCTTGTTTCCTCGAGTAACTCACGCCTTTTGAAGATACTAGTTTCGTTCCCTGAATAACCTGCAAAAAAAAGAAAGAAATATGATTGACACTTATGAGTTTTATGTGTTTCCAATTGCAGAGCTTTGAGTCATCTTTTAGCCTTACTTGGGTGATAATTCACGACATATTTCTCGCCGTGTGATTCCCTTCGGACCCTGAAGAGACATAAAACATAGAAAATCAGTAACACAGGAGGATTTTAAACATACAAATCAAACCAAAAGTATTGAGAGAGAAAAGAAAATGCTTTCATGTAATGTCTTGAAGTTGCTCTAATCCGCAATACGAATGCCTTTGCCTTGTTTCTTGTTAGTAAACTTCTCCTTGAAACACTGTCAAATAAATTCAAGTTAGATAGAAACACAAGCCAACTCAAAGCGAAGATTTCTCCATCTTAACAAGAAAAGGACTAAAACTTTTATTACCAGTATCCAAGTTTTCTATTTACACAGTCAAGGACATCAGCGGAAACCGAAGACAGCTCCCGGTTCTTGTTCAACTGGACTTTATATAGCGATTGAAGTTTCAGGAACTTTATGGCCATAAAACCCGCAAATTTGTTACCAGAAAGCATCCTGAATCCACCAAAAAACAGAACATTTTGTATCAACACATTGTTTTGGATTAAATCAAAAGCACTACAAGCCTTTAAAACTCACAAGTTTTCTGGTGTCAACACTTTGTTTAGCTCGGGTGGAACTACTCCGCTTAACTTATTATCTCGCAAATCCAAGAACTCTAGCTTTGCGAAATTCGCAAATTCCTTTGGAATGTCACCAGAGAGTTTGTTCTTGGATAGTATTCTACAAAAAAATAAATAAACAAGAATTAGTTTTAGTTCTTCTTCTTCTTTCAAGAAACAGAGCAAAAATATCAGTTAAACAACACTTACAGCGATCTTAATTCACTCAATTGACTAAGCTCAGGAGCTAAAGTTCCTCCCAAAGAACAACCACTAAGATTCCTACAAAACAAAACCAATTCATTCGTTAGTTTTTGCAACAAGAATCATAAAGAAACAAAAAAAAAAACATTACTTACAGCATCTTCACTTTATTGTCGACACACGTAACACCAAACCAAGAACACAAATGATCATGATCAGAAACATTCCAATTTGCAAGAGTTCCATGAGGATCAGAATCAACTCTTTCCCGGAATTTCAACAATATGTATCCTACATTGAATCACAAACAACCATAACTAAAAACCCCCTATAAAAAAATGATCCAAAATAACACAATGATAGAGATTTAAACGTTGTATACCTTCGGATTCGAGGGATAACGAGGACCGAGATTGAAGGGTAATGATCAAGAACATAAAGCAAGAGAATTGGAACCCAATTGGATTCCATCGACAACCCATTTTAGGTATACACCAATGCTATACAAAATCGCCAGATTTTTTCCTAAATGAACGAATAAAATAAATAATACAAATTTCACAGAATCCTTGGTAGGAGAAGAACGACGAGGTTGATGATTGAACAATCAGGGTCTCTCATTGTTTCCAGTTTTGCAAAATCACAAAACCCTAAAAATGTTCATGTCCTAAAGAGTCAACAACTCGTACGTTAATTCTCTTCTTCTTGTTAATCCTGGAGAAAAAGAAAGCCAACAAGAAACAAACAAACAAATATCAAAACTCTAACAACAAATGTATAACAATAATTAAACAAGAAGAAAAAAAAAAAGAAAGAATAAGAATAACCCTCTTGAAGAAGCAATGTGAAGAAAAACATGGAACCCCACCCAAAAAATATTAATCTTTTTCCCCCAGAAAATGAAGAACATTACAAAATCAAATAATTACCTTAAAGAAGAAACTTCTTCACCAAGAATTGGGTATAGGGTTTGAGAAATGAAAAATTTTAAAAAAATTTCCCCAGAAAATAGAAAATGATTATTAAAAAAAACTTTAAAAAGGTATAATTTTGTTTAAAAGAAAAATATTGGATTTATATTTTCTGATTTGTTCTTGTTTTTGCAGGATGGTGATGATGAAGATGATGATCTCAGAGTTTTCTCTCTTCGACCATCTTTGGTCTCTCCAGGGCCAAAGGGTGGTGGGTTCTCTCTCCTTCCTCTCTCTTTCCTTTTTCTTTCTCTTCTCTCTCTCTTTCTCTTGTCGAATCTTTTTTTCCTATTTTTTAATTATTTTTTAACAATTTTTCCCCCACAAAACTGTCTCTGTTTTTTAATTTTTAAAAATTTCCTATCAATGAGTAAGACCCTATTAACTTCCTTTAGATTTTCCATAATTATAGAAATGTTTATATTCGCATAAATCAAAAATTAATTCATTTTTTTGGTCTTTTATTCCTGATCCGTTGTTAAATAACGTGAACATATACATATGGCGCGAAAGATTAGTCAAAAATTAATTATGATATAATTGAAATCCATTTTAAATTAGAGTTGACTTGGAAATACGTGCCAATATTGGACCGTTGGATATTACTTAGTGTGATGATCAACGGTCCAGTGTTTAGTGACGTGGCGAATATAATAAGCGATGTTACATGGAATTATTATTAGTTTTCGAGTCATGTGCTATAGACTATATAGTACATGTCACCCACTACTTTATATTTAAAATGTAATCAATTTTTAAATGTGTAGTCAACCTTAATTATTTTCTCCATACTTTTTTATTCATTTGTTTATTCAATTTTTTTTCAATACTGTTGTTATTAGTTGATGCTTCATCTATATGATTAGATTTTTATTTTAAATGAAAATTGTTGGCACTTGTTGGGCTTATTTAAGAATCATAACGAGGATATAATTTGATGTACTCTTAGTTGGGCCTAAATCATTCATAATCATATTAGATTTATCTGACATAGAAATTTGTTCAGTTTTTGGTTTTTTTTTTTTTTTTTTTTTAGTTTAGTTTAGGATTTTGGATGTAGAACTCAACTCAATAATTAGTTAGGATTTTTCTTGGCTTAGTTCAATTAGATCGGTTCCATGTACGGATTGGATGAATTTGAATCTTAATTTGTACTTTTAACTAGAAAATCATTCTCATACACCATGGACAAAAATCATAAAAGAAAAATGATGACCGAGAGATTTCAATAGCAAAAGATTTTAGGTGTTTTGGTAAAACACCAGTTGAATAAACCTAAGATTTTTTTTTAAATGTGTAAATAGTATAATCAATAACAATATATTTTTATAATTATATAAAATCTACTACCATGAAATTATTTAAAAGAAATTCATTCTAAATGGTTGAACGAATACAAATTTTCATACCAAATGTTTGGATGAATACGACGAGTTTGCATTCCAAATGTTTGGATCAATTGATGTTGATATTGGTGAAAATAATGTGGCTATTTCCAACCTAACCCGATCCGGTCCGACACGAAATTCGGATTTATCCGACATCATGATCTCATGGAGTACAATATTTTAACAAATTTTCTGTGCCAGAAAAAAAGGAAACTCGGTATGAAGTACAAACTATTCCGGTTTTCAGAATTTATGTTGACGAGTAGGATGAACAACAATAAGCCCCTGCACAATTGAACATAATCCAAAAAAAAACCCATCAAATTTATCGAAGCATATAAAAATACCAAAAAGAGACAAAGATTCTTAGGAAAATTCTTCTAACTAGGACTGATTAATAAATACCTCTGAGTAGCGAACATGATCATGGTGTGTATTCGATGTTTTCACAATCGTCTCCCAATGTATAGACTGAGATTCAGTCTTTTGCTCCATCTTCTTCTTGAAACGGGCGGCTTGACCGGAGACGACGACGGCAAATTGGCCGGAGAATACGGAGGAGGTGGTAGAGCTTCTCGGAAGTGTCCGGCAAAGCCACGACTCTGAAGGAGTTTTAGGCAATGGAGGTTGAGAAACAGAGAGATTTTCTGACCTGTTTTTGTTTCTGTTGCTCCTTCTCTTTACTTCTTCCACAAGAAACCTAATTTCTTGTCTCTGATTCTGATCGGTTGTTCGTTGCAACCTCGAAGGATTTCGCTGGATCTTGAGTGTTTCGCCGGATTTCGGTAAAGAAATTTTGGAAATCTCTCTTGAAAGTCTTGGTGTTTCATAGATTTCTTGAGACTTACTCATAACCTTGTTTGTTTTCAAGATTCTCGGTGATGCTGATTTTGTTTTGTAAACAGAATCTAGCGATTTCGGGTTTATTATATTCCCCGATTTTACTCCAATATCCTGACATGTCTTGATCCGAGAAAGTAACGGATTAAGAACATCCACTGAGTTCTTGGAACAGAACCATGGCAAGAACCCTAACTGAGCTTTCTTGGAATCATTTGAGTAAACCGTTGCATCAATACCATCGACATGATTATGATCATCATCATCATCCTCATCATCTTCATCGTTGTTTAAATCTTGATTAATTGCCATAGAGACTCTCTGTAGAGCAATGCTCTGTTTCTTCTTCTTCTCCTCTTTAAATCGAGAAGCTTCTTTCTTATTTTTCATGGCAATTGCTTCCGCGGCTGGTAAAAATCTAGACATGATGAGATCACGATATTCATAAACGACGTCATCTCTTGATACATCATTACTCGATCTGTCTCCATCTCTCTTCTTCTCGAACTCACTTACTCCACTTGAACTGCAATTAACAGAGAAACTTGCGGTTGAAGAAACCATTTCCAAAGCTTTGATTAGGTCTAATTCTTCGATTATTGTATCTTGATCCTTTGGCTTTCCAGGTGTTTGTTCCCATTTGAAAGGAACTGAAGATGGTTCCATTACATGGTCGAAACTCTGGTCTTGTAATAGTCGAATCAGAGTTTCATGTTCTGTTTCTTGACACGAATCTTTGAGTTTTCTCCTTCTCGTTGTCGTCGTCTTCTTCTTGGTGTTCTCTGATTCGTTTGGATCCTCTGGTTTAGTAGGAACTCGCCTCACGGATAAGAATGGAGCATCTAAATTTAGTTTCTTCTCCTCCATTGTTGCTTCTGATAAAAATCCTTTCAAGAACTCTCTTTAACAAAAAAAAGAAAAAACTTTAAAGAAAGTTCAAGAATCAAGAATGTGTAAAATGAATAAATAAAATAGTGAAAAGGAATCTAAAGAGTTAGTGATGTTTTCTGCTCTGCTATCAGAGATATAACACCATTTGTTAGAAAACAAAAAAAGATTTAAAGAAATTATATGGGCCTATAGGGAGGACTGAAAAATGAATGTTAGGGGACTAAAGAGTCAGTCAATAAATAAAAGTGTCTCTATGGTAAATTTTAGAATGATCGCAGTAAAAAAAATCAATTACTATTGTTTTGATTTATAAAAAATGGTGGTATGAAAGAATTGATAGAGAGAAACGTTTTATTTTTGATTATTTCCCCTCAGATATTTCACCTTTCCCTTCTATTTAGGTTTCCTCTTTTCTGTTATTATCCTGCAGTAAATATCTACTTCTTAGTCAATTTCCTTAGGAGGTTAGTTTTAACTTTTTGGAAAAAACAGATTTTCATTTCCTTCCTCAGTAAGTAGTGGGTATCTCTATAATTATTACTTTTATTGGGGAGATTTCCTAGTTTTGTCTTTTTTGACTTTTTCATCTTTATCTTTGATTTCTTAGAATTTCCCTTTTTCTTTTTAATTTCTCTCTCGTAGAGCTTTCTTTTAGGTTTTACTTTCTCATCTCCTATATAATCTTCTTTTACTTTGTTACTTCTTCTTGTAACTTTTTTCTTTCTCACGTCCTTGCTTTTCTCACTTCAAAATGTCTGATGACTTATGGGATGATTTACAAGACATGGTTTTGGGTAGGGATGACCCAGAGCTTTTTGTTCCTCATGAGGCTTATGCTAGTGTTGTTGCTAGTAATCGTTTGAGCTTAATTGGAAGACCTTTGAATCCTACTGATCAGACGCTTCGTGGTGTTATTCAGACCTTACCTAGGGTTTGGGGAATGTCTGCTAGAGTCCATGGCCGTATCCTTGATGACAGAAGTGTGCAGTTTCGTTTTCAGTATGAGTTTGACTTGCTGTCTGTTTTGAGGAGGACTCCCTGTGTGTTTAATGATTGGTTTGTTGCCTTGCAAAGGTGGCAAGACTTTCCTAGACCTGACTTTCTGACTTTTATTGATCTCTGGGTTCAAGTAAGAGGTATTCCTCTTCCTTACCTCTCTGAGTTGACTGTAAGTTTCATTGCGGGCACTTTGGGGCCAGTAGTGGAGTTGGATTTCAATGAACAAACTTCGACCTTTGTTGGCTTTATCCGTGTTAAGCTCAGGATTGTATTCACTGATCGTCTCAGGTTCTTTAGACGTGTCAGGTTTGAATCAAGAGAAAATGCTATGATAGGTTTTGAGTATGAAAGGTTGAGAAGAATTTGCACTAACTGTTGCCGCATCAATCATCAGACTGACAACTGTCCTTTCTTAGCTGCTCCTGTGGCTCACCATGAGGAGGAGGAAATACTTGAAGTTCCACGTTGGGAGGAAGGTAATGGATCCAACAACAGCATTGATCAAGCTCCTTTGTCCAGTTCTGATAGTTCAGACATTTCCTCTTCTTCACCAATATCTCAGCCTCCTCTTCCTGCTGCACCTCCTTTCTTTGACAATGTTGCTGCTGTGGGCTCTCAACCTTCCAGTTCTGACTCATTCAGCTCCACCTCTACTCATCACTTCAAAGGTAAAGGAAAGGCTAAGTATGAGATTGGTGAATGCTCTAAGGGTAAGAAGGGTAAGCGGATTGATCTCTCTACTGAGAGAAACATCAGGGCCTGTAGAAAAGAACCGGGAGTTCGCTTTTACCCGGTGTCAGGTCCTACTCCATAGGTCTTCTTGAGGCCTGTTCTGACTTAAGAGTGTAATGTACCCTTATGCTCTTGCAGTCACTGCTTTTTGGGGTACGTCTTGCTTTCAGGTGTCGAGAACATAAGTCTCCTTTTACAGGCAGAATGAATGGCTTTGGTTGGATTACTTTTTGGTAGCCATTGCTCCTTAACTGGTTTTACTTTTTCATTGAGGCGATATGATGATACAGCTTAGTTGCCTCAAGTGACTTTTGGATACCTTCTGCTACTATGCATTTTATGGGTTGAAGATGGGGAACAAGAAGCAAGCATACTATAAGCATATGGTGGATTCAATTGGATCAGCTACAAGCCTGGAGCTTTATGTTTGATCTTTTTGCGAGTGTTATGATCTTGCTTTTACCAAGTTACCGCTTCTCTGTTTTTACTTAGTATTGGAATGTATTTGTTTTATATGGTTTTTATTTATAGTTTGTAGCTTCTACTTGTTGTTACTTACTCTTGCTTCTCCTCCTTGGATTCTCCATTGATGGATGATGCTGTTTAGACTGTGATATATATAATACCTTGATTAAAAAAAAAAAAGAATTGATGGAATGATAATTATATTTAAATTAAAAAATTTAAAGAAGAATAACAAAAAGAAAAATTAGATATCTTCAACTTCAAGATTTTGTTTGGAAAAAGATGACTTTCGAATTTCGATAGGATCAATTCAACTTTTGTTGTTGGACTGTTATATGGTTGTGATTCTCGTGAACAACTCCATTGATGAATATTAATCAATTACTAGTGTTAGTTTATGTTGATTGAAATTCTAAACATATTGGAAACTTTACACACCAAAAAAAAAAAAACATATTGGAAACTTTAACAAAAAAAAAAAAAACATATTGGAAATGACATTTCGTCTTATAGTAAACGACATTGTTGATATTCCATAACAAATCATACCAAAACAATATATGTATTCTTTGCCCAAAAAAAAAAAAAAACAATATATGTATTCCAAAACAAATAAGTTCTTATCATTAACGTAATTATCCGTGGCACGTGAATAGTGGTTTTGGTTAAGCTGTTATTCTAACTGTATGATTCTGACTGGTAACACTAGGTAAATGCGAAATGACGGAAAACTAAGAGAAAATTAATTTACAAAGTGGGATGAAATATGAATTCAAAACTTAAAAGTCGTATAACAAAATTATTTGTGCAATCCAAAAAAATTTGCGAAATAATAGAATATTAGACAAAAAAATTTTTAAAAAAAAAAAATATATATATATACTTAAAAAGTGAATAATTCTTTGTAAATGAACTTCAATATACCATAAATATTATTTGATATTATATACGGACGTATTGCGATTCAGACTGGCCTACGTGTCCCCACTAACAAGGCGATCGCTGTCTGCGTATGTTGTGCTGTTAGGCAGTTCACCAATATCTTGGAAGACAAAGAAGCAGGATACGTTGTCTCATTCCTCAGCCGAGGCGGAATACAGAGCCATGGCGGCAGCCTTGCGTGAGCTGAAATGGTTGAAGCGGTTATTGGCGGATCTTGGAGTAGAGCATGATGTTCCAATGGAGATGTTCTGTGATAGTAAATATGCCTTGCACATTGCGTCGAACCCGGTATTACATGAGCGGACAAAGCATATCGAAGCAGATTGCCATAGTGTGAGAGATGCGGTTCAAGATCGTCTTATTGCTACACAACACGTCAGAACAACGGAGCAGCTAACAGACATTATGACTAAGGCTTTGGGAAGCTCAAGCTTCAATTACTTGGTGTCCAAGTTGAGCATTCGTAACTTACACGCTCCAACTTGAGGAGGCGTGTTAAGGATGGTTCAGATAGTTCTAGAACATTCTAGAATATTCGATAAAGATCTCTTGTGTGTAGAATAAGTTGATGATAAATCCATATCTTGTTGAGATAAGGATTCGGGATACTTAGAGGATATTTGGTGTTATCTCTTCATGTGTATATAAAGATGTGTAACGATGATCAATAGAATACATAACTTTCCTCTAAACTCTCTCTGGTTTACAACCTTCCTATCCAAATAGACCCGAAACCCGAAAAAAAACCGATCGGATACTCCGTACCCGAATGCCTAGGCTTACTGTAGTCGTTATATATTGTAACTTGTAACTTATGGTCTATTTTAAAAGGAAATCATGAAAGTATATTGGCAAACAACAAAAACTCACCAAATACTTTTTGCTTTTCTAAAACAATTCCCAAAACGAAGCAAGGCGTACCTTCGTGTAATCAATAATGTGGACCTTAGATGCATCGAAACAAGGTGAAGAAGATAACAAATTATCAATATTGTCATTTATTATAATTTATTAAACACCAAACTCTTCAAAAGTGTCTGTAAATGTGCATTCAATTCACCAGCGGCAATTTTGTTTCTTATGTAGAAAAAAGGGCCAACGTTTTAATGGAGTGTTTAAAAAAAATCTAAAAAAGGAAAGAAAGTTATCACAAGTTTGTTTTCTAGATTACATCATATTTTTAACATTTATAAATTTACCAATAAATGATTTTATTTTCTTTGATTTTAACCAATAACGATTTACTTGACAACAATAAACAAAATTTGTATTTTTTTTTTTTGCAAATAATCGATATAATACTTAAATATGATATAAGGAGAATTTGTTTTACTACATGTAACATTGGTATAATTTCGAATCCACAATACCTACTCTCTCTATACCAAAATAAGAGAGGTTTTAGCATTTTTTTGTTTCAAAATAATTGACGTTTTTTAATTTAATACAAATTTTTAATTCAGTTTCTCCTTTAATTGTTGTTAGCTAATAACAAAATATTAGGGTTAAAGTAGAAAATGAATTAATAAATTATAATTAATAGTTTTTTCTTATAATAACTTCAACTAGGATCGGACCCGCGGTCCACCGCGGGAGAATATTGGTTTACATACGTTGCGTTTAATATTGTGTTTGTGTTTTTAGTAGAACGAATCGTATAGTATACTTATAAATATTCATAATGTAGAGAAAATATAAAATTATTTATAAATATACCCATTGTATTAATTATGATTTACAAAATAGAATTTTGTGTTTTAAAATTCTAAAATTAGACGATTCATAGGAATTAGAGCAGTCAAAATAGATCAAAAACCGCGGGTCGAGCCCACATCATCTCACTATGGGACAGATTTGAGAAAATATATTAAACCCGCAAATAAGCGGGCCACATGGATATATTCGCAGTGGGTCATAGGTTTAATCGGTTTTCATCCGCGGGTTGGCGGATCAGCCCGCATATTAGTATTTATTGATAAAATTATAATTTATTCAACATGTGGTAATTTAAACAAACTTTTAATAGTATTTTGATTTATTTATTTATTTTAGTAGTATTTTAAATTTTGGTTACTTTAAAATTATTTAAACAAAATCCATGGACAATCCCGCAAATCCGCATACATTCGCGGGACGGGTTTGTATTTCATATATGCTACCCGCGGGTCGTGCGGACCGACTAACTACAAGTCAAAATATTTTTTGTCTATCGCAAAATGGACTTAACGGGACAAATCAACTCGCTTTGACAGTTTTAATGGGAATATTATTTAGTCATACAACAAAATGAAGTTTGAACATAGTAATAATAGAATATGTATCTTATTTGTTAGATGAGAGATTGAAAGATGAAGTAATGATTAAAAATTAATTATTATTTTTCATGATTCACAAAATTTAATAAATACTTATCATCTTGTTGAATAATTCTAAAATCATATTCAAGAAATCTTTATAAACTGAAAATTAATCTTCTTTGGTAAGCTATAGGTATGAAAATATCATAATTTCGATTTAATCTAATTAAATTAAAATTAGTTACATGGATTTCATATCTATTTAATTTACACGACCAAAATAAAATATCTATTTAATTTACACGACCAAAATAAAAAATATCAATTTAATTTATAAAACAGATGGGTTATTTGTGATAAATTTTCTAGAAATCTTTAGAAGCAAGTAAAATATCTTTTAATTAATGATAATTGGCTAACATGAGCGAAATTAATGACAAAAACGTTGATTGTTATGGAATTAGTCCCAAAAATATATGAACAAATTTATTATACGTAATTAATGTATAATATTGTTTGGAATATGCTTTTATTATTAGTTACCATAAGTACAATAAGATTTTATTTGATTTCCATAAATATTTGATTTTATTTCGATTTTTCATTATTAATTCGAATTTATATTCCAAAAAAATTTCAAAGATCCGATTTCAGAATTTTGGGTCAATTTTCTGATTTTAACCCGACCCATTTTCATTTGTACTTCTCTTTTAATAGTATATAGATTCATTTTCTCCTATAAATAATTTTAATAACAATATATTAGCAAATAAAAGGTGAATAAGCATAAAATCCACATAGGATTTATTGAATTTACATTGGAAAATATAAAATCACATGTAGAAAATATTTCATATAGAGAGGAAGTTGCATATATGGTGTTTTGGTATAAAAGAAAAAGTTGATCAAAGAAAATATTTCATTGAGTATGTTTGTAGATGGATTATAATTTGTTAACATCTTTAATAATTTATGGGAGACTCACAAAAATGTTTCTTTTTCAATACCCCTTTTCAAAAATGCCTCTTTTGACTGTCCATTTTTTAAAATACCTCTTTTCAAAAATACCCCTTTTGGCTGTCCATTTTTAAAAATACCCTTTTTTATGTACAAAATGACTAAATTACCCTTCTTTTAATAAAAGATATCACAAATATATAAGGAAATATAACAAAATTAGATCCACAAAATACAAAATATTTTTTGGCGGGAAAAGTGATCCCATAATTTTCCCGCCAAAACACTTGTAAACCTTTAAAATACCATGTAAAATGTTGCAGTAAAATTTTTTCCCGCCAAAAAATTTTCCCGCCAAAAAATTTTATTTGCGGAAAAAGTGATTCCGCAATTTTTTTGGCGTTAAATTTTTGGTGGGAAAAATTTACAAGGTATTTTAAAGGTTATTTACAAGATATTTATAAAGTTTTACAATGTATTTTAAAAGGTTTTACAACGTATTTATAAGGTATTTATAAGATATTATAAGATTTTACAAGCTATTTTATAAGGTTTTACAAGTTATAAGATTTTACAAGTTTTTTATAAGGTTTTACAAGTTATAAATACCTTATAAAACCTTATAAGTACCTTGTAAAACCTTTTAAAATACATTGTAAAACCTTACAAAACACTTGTAAATACTCCGTTAAACCTTTAAAACACCTTGTAAATTTTTTCCGCCAAAAAAAATTTGCCAAAAAAATTGCAGAATCACTTTTTCCGCAAAAAATTTTTTTTGGCGGGAAAAATTTTTACGTGAAAATTTTACAAGGTATTTTAAAGGTTTTTACAAGTGTTTTGGCGGGAAAATTGCGGGATCACTTTTCCCGCCAAAAAATATTTTATATTTTGTAGACCTAATTTTGTTTCAAATAAGGGTAAAATGGTCATTAAAAATTAAAAGAGGGCAAACTTAAAAATGGACTCTCAAAGGGGGCATTTTTGAAAAGGGGTATTGAAAAAGGGACATTTTTAATAATTTCTCATAATTTATTAACATGTTTAATGATAATAAATAATATATCACACATTTATACGATGAAATAGAAGTTCCATAAATTTGATAACTTTTATTGTTGCTAGGAAAATTTTCTATTAAAATGTTAAAATTGAAGGAAAAAAAACACAAAGGTGTTCGAGGAAGTTTTTTTTTATCATCCCAGCAATAAAATGGAAATAATGGAACGAAAAATAAACCAGATTAACAACCAAATAACCTTCGAATCTATGTCCGTCCAAAAGTAATTTTACACTAAAAATAAAGACCTTTGTTGTTTTAATAAATAGTAAAGTAATATATTTTTTTTTTGGGCAATTGACAAAAATAGCCCATAGAAAAGTTTTTTTTTCCAAAATTAGCACAATATTTCTAAAATTCCATAAATAGCACCCTAAACTTTAATTAAAATAGAAAATAAAAGCAAACATTAACCTAATATTAAATTGAATCAAATTTTTTTAAAATGGTGGATATATATACCCTAAATTGGGAATAGGAAACCCAACTATAATACCACAAACTAATATTAAGATAAATCAAAATATCTTTTAAGTGATGAATATATATACCCTACATTAGAAATAAGGAACCCAAACATAATAACACAAATTCAATATTAAATGGTGGAGATATTAGAAATAGAGGACCCATATATAATATTTAGAATTTATTTTGGTTGAATAGTTTTTATATAAAATTTGTGGTATTATTGAAAAAAAAATAAACTAGTGATAATACTATTGAAACAAAAACTTAATAGTGAGTGTACTAATGCTATTTTTGGAAGCTTATTGAATATATGTTATAATTGTCCATAAAACTTTTTTTAGTGCTATTTTGGGGAATTTCTCTTTTTATATAACTGTGGAATTTGGATCATAACCTTCTAATCTATGTATGCATGAAGGATATCTTTACAATTTTTTTAGAATATAACCATTTCTATATTCGAAGTCATGATCTTTTTATTAATGTTTTTGTTATCTTTTATCAATAAATAATTTATTTACATATTATATGTATATATATATATATTTTTTTTTTGAAAATTAATTAACTACTTAAAAACTTTGGAGGCTTGGACCAAAAAAAAACCACCGACTCTACATTTAATGTACAAGACTTTCAAATTTTGAGCATGTTTCATTAACCTGAAAACAAAAACAATACCCTAAATTTGCGGAGGTGAAAAGTGTAGAACTTTGAACTCTCAAAGTGTTTAAGGATCGGACAACACAGATTTTATTCTGTTTTGTCTTCTCTTCCTCTGTTTTGGTTGGACACTCAATGTGTTTATGTGTTAATCTTTATTAGATAGTGAAAGCAATATTTATAAGTTTACAAGACACACTTTGGACAATTGGACTAAGAGTTGCATCTCTAACAGATGCCTCAATGTGGAGACACAACCATTCAACAATAACTACTTAGCGGTTACTTATATCATTCATATCTTATGAGTGATACAAATGATTTACATGTTAATACTATACTACTCTTAATAAAACAAACATGAAGACTTGATCACTTCCAACAAAAAGGACAGGGTAGAACTAGTGATTGTCTTTCACATGACAACTACTTTTAGATATCGTGGAAGATCCATTGCCTATCATTCAAAAGCTCTGAGCCCACCAAAGAATCTATTTCTAGATTTCTACCACTTCAAAATTACATATACTATAACATTACTTTTATTTCCTTTTATTTTAGTTTTTAAAATATTACAAAAGTTTGAGTGCAACAGAATAAAAAAGTGAAATAAAAGAACAAACGTAACATACTAAGGACATACTAATTAAGTTACTAACAAATACACCATATATCTAGTATTATACATATATTTACTTATTTCCCCTCGAACATGACTATTGCTAGTTGCTATCCTGATTTTAATTCTTAAAAACTAACACTAGAATCTAAAAATTACAACTTTAGATGAGCCACCATCTTCTCCGAGAGCTTAGCCAATGACTTAAGATTAAACCCAACGATATTATCAGCAAAAGACGTCGTTTCCTCCTCACTATTTCCTTCTGGCACATCCACCACATAACTCTCCACCACCACCGTCTTCTCCTCCTCATCCGCCGCCACAAACGCCATCGTTTTCGACCGGTAATTAACCAAACGATGATCACCACCTATAATGCTAATCACCATCATATGAGACTCATCGTCAAGTTCATCTAACCTCTCTTGGCTGAACTCGGCCGGAAGACCGGAAACCACCGTCACTTCACGGACGGAGCCTGTTCCTCCATCGCCGAAGCTTAGATTGCACGTTTTCACGAATTGTTTGTAGGCTTGAGGGTTATCAAAACGACGGAGTATCGACCAAACTATGGATAGTGGAGCATCTATAGTTTGTGCTAGTGTGGAACCGCACTTATGATATTCTTGAGAAGTATCCATTTGTGTTTGATGGTATTTTGACGAGATTGTCCGTTTATTGACCGTTGTTTGTATGATAATATCTTCAAATCTTTATGAAGCTTCCATGCATTAGTGTTTATATGAGAAATATCTAGAACAAGGCCGACTAAAAATAATAATATGAGTTGTCATTTTTGGTGTTTTCTGCAAATTATAAATGTAATATCAAGTAAAAAGAAACTTTGTTGATTTGTAATTTTGTATAACATAAGATGATAAAAAGAAATTCAAAGTAGATTGTAATACATATATATATATATATATATATATATATATATATATATATATATATATATTTAAAAGAGTGCATTGTAATATGCAGTCATGCAGATAAAACCAAAAAAAAATACTTTAAAAGAAAGACTGATTAATCAGTGTAGGATGTGTAGCATATGATGACTATATATATATAGATATATATTTGTCCATAAAATATATAACACTAAATTATAAACTTAAAAATGAAAATTTGTTTTGTAACGTCATTGTAATGAAGAATGTATCTCGGTTAAATTTGGAGGGTTATGACATATGGAATGTGAAAAACTAGTGGCATACAATGGATCCACGTTTTCGATTTCGTTCATACGAACCACACTTATTTATCACACATTTATATTGTTATAAAAAGTTGACAAAAAAAAAAAAAAAAAAGAGATGAGAGGCAGGACATTTAAAACGGCAAGTTGAGAACAGGCTTAATGAGCCTACAATATAACGATCCATTTGAAGCCCAAAACAGCATCACTTTTTTTTCAGAAGGTAAAGATAATTTAACCGGAAACCGATAAAAATGGTTAAAGAATCTCAGAATCGCAATCTCATATTTTCAAATCTCTTACATTTTAATTTGAATCTAAAACAAAAATAGACACATAATAAAATAAAATGAAACAGATTAAAAAACGTTTACGAGTTCACTCGATCAATATAATTAGAGATGAAACGAATTTCGGTAAGACTTTTGCATGCAATCTATATAGCATGTGTAAGTAGGATAATTGAACAATCATAATTTTGTTTAAGAAAATCATTAAATTAAATATGTATATAAAGTGAGGTTTAATTTTTTTAAAAATTTTGTTTACCAACTATCGTCAATAAATTTTTAAATATTACCTACAATTACAAATAGTTTGAAATGGCCCTTCAATCTACTAGAATATAATGAGTTCCTTCTTTTTTAAAAAAGTGTAAACAATTGAGCTACAACCAAATAGTATAACATGTTATAAACCATATGGATGGACTCCATAACTGGCCCATGGCCCATTAGGGTTTTACCTTATTCTATGTATCCTGCTATTATCATTGTATATATATCCCTTATTCTATTAATGAGATGACACAGTTCACAACACGTTATCAGCACGATAGCCACTTACCTAAAAATTAAAAAATCCCGAAACCCTAAATCTCTCTCACAAAAACCAAAACCAAAACCCTAGCTGTCTCTGCAAACAAAATTTTAAACTCTATCGAGATAAGTTTTCTGTTCATATTTGTTTCTGCACGAATTTTGCACGGATTATATGTTATCAATTTTGTCTGTATTTCTGCACGAATTTTGCACAGATGATCTATTGTCAATTCTGTCTGTAGTTTTGCACAAATTTTGCACGGATTATATGTTATCAATTTTATCTGTATTTCTGCACGAATTTTGCACAGATTATCTGTTGTCAATTCTGTCTGTAGATTTGCACAAATTTTGCACGGATTATTTATTATCAATCCTGTCTATATTTTTGTACGATTTATGCACGGATTATATGTTATTGATTCTGAACTGTTTTATGCAGTATATTACAGAAACCCTATTTTTTTTCTTTTTACTAATGTAATAGCCATGTTTCTATGAGCAAAATTTTGAGTTTCTCAGGAATCAGGATTATATATATTGAGATTTTGTAGGAGGTCCCAACCAGCTAAGAGACATAACTGTTTCCAATCTCCGTATCAGATCTCGGGTCTCTGTTTCAGTTCTCCAATTAAGATAAGTGCTATTTATTTATTATGCTTTATATACATGATCCAATTAAAGTTTGATAAGATAAAATTTGCATGAAAATTGGCAGATGTGATTTGATTTATGATTGGAGAATTAATTGAGAAGTTAGTGAATGGAAAGATGTTTAATGGCATGATAGATTGAATGTTTTAATATAAACCCTAGGTTAAACCGAAAGTAAACCGAAACCCTAAATCCTAGGTTAAACCGGTTTAATAAACCCTAAGTCACGGTTTAAGATCAAGCTTCCTATAAATGGAAAGTTTCCAGAAATAGAAAGTTCCATATAAAGAAAGTTTACAGAAATAGAAAGTTTCGTAAAATAGCAAGTTTCCCAAAATAAAAGGTTTCCTAAAATAGCAAGTTTCCCAAAATGGAAAGTTACCAAAATAGGAAACCCCTTCATAAGGAAATATTCCAAAACCCTAAAGTACATAATTGTTTAGAATTTCTTTCTAGATGAGAAATAGAAATTTTCTATAAAAGGAAAGTTCCATATAAGGAAAGTTTCCATAAATAGAAAGTTTCATACATAAAACCGAAATCCTAGCAAAAACCCTAGTACTATAAATCGCGGATGCTAAAACCCTAAAACTTAACCGCGAAATCCTAATATCCTAATCTAGTATGATCCGATTGTTTGGTTGTTGCATACTAGATCAATCTTCTAGGGTTGATTTCATCCATATAATTGCCATGATACTTATCCATATATATATATAACATGATTGTTTAGAAAACACTTGCTGAAGACAAGCATGGCTCGGTCTCAAATACCGCATGACTTGGTCTAACCGATTACATGAGTTCTCATTTAACTCTATATATTATAGACAGTGTTCAAGAAAGCGCTAGGCGCTAAGCGGGTGGTGACCCAGTGCCTAGCGCCTAGAACGTCTAAACGGGGCCTAGGCGATTTTTTAGGCGGTTTAGACGTTTATAACATAAAATATTATAAATATGATATTATATATATAAGTTATATAAAATGTCTATATAAAACTAAAAATTATGAAATTATAAACAAAACTAGATAAAACATTTATTTATATTTATATTAAACAATATATAAATATGTATAACTATATATATAAATAAAACTCTAATTAAAATTGAAAAAAATACATTAAACAAGATCTATGTAACTTTAGGCGGTCAAGACGGTTATCTAGGCGTCGCATGAGAGCCTAGCGCCTAGTCGGGGCCTAGGCGACCGCCTAGACCGCTTTTTAGAACACTGATTATAGATATCAGAAATCAACTATTATGAATACACGGCACTCAATGCCTCTGGTGACAATTATTTAAAATGGGCTTTGGACACTAAGATTGTCCTAAAGGAAAAAGGGCTTGGTGAATCTATTATGGAAGGAAACAATGTCACTAGAAGAGAAAGATATAAGGCGATTACTAACATACGCCATCACCTCAATGAGAGTCTCAAAATCAGTACCTCACTATTAAGAATCCTCTGGACCTCAGGACAGAGTTGAAAAAAAAAACACGGTGCTATTACCCAAAAGCCCGATTCGATCGAAAGAATCTCAGATTCCAAGAATTCAAATCCATGAATGAGTATAACTCAGCACTATTTAAAATAGTGTCAATACTGAGATTCCGTGGTGAGGAAATTACTGAGAATGACTTGCTAAAGAAAGCATTCTCGACCTTTCACACAAACAATATATTGCCTCAGCAACAATATCGTGAAGAAAAAAAAAAAAAAAGGTTTTTACCACATATGCAAGTCTAAACTCTTGTTTTGCTACTTGCTGAGCAAAACAATGAGTTATGAATAGTGAAATGAGACCTCCTGGTCCTACCCCATTATCAGAAGCCCATTGGGCTGAAGAGCCTAAAGAGCCTAAAGAGACTAAAGAGTCTAACCACGTCCAAAGAGATAAGTATCATGGCAATTATAATTTATATGATCAAGGAAACCATTCATATGGTTAAGGCCGCCGACCCGACTTTGGTCGTAATCGAGTTAGAGGTCGTGGTATACCCAAACCACAACACTCAAATAAACTTGTTTGCCACTGATGAGGAATGGGGAAACCATTGGACTAAGACGTGCATGACTCCTAAGCATCTCATTGATCTCTATCAAGAGAGTTTGAAAAGAATCTAGAAGCTCATTTCATCACAATGGTGAAGAAGATTTCGACCATGAGATAGATGACTATGAGACTTCGGAATGCCAACAAAATATCCAAAGACATGGTTGATTAGCCAAATTGCGGGTATAGCTAAATTTAGTGAAGGCTAAGGGCAGGCCCATGGCAGGCCCATATTCCCAAGGGCACGCATCCTCAGATGCTTCATATTCACCCAGCTCAAAGGGGCCTTGTTGAGTTTCAAAGAAAAGTGTTTGAATGGTTTCCACATTGAAACTAAGGGTGAAGGGAACAAAGGATTCCCATATATTACTAAGAGCACCCAAGACCATGAGAAGGTCTTAGAGACTATACCCGCGTCATAGACCTTTACTATGCCAAGGTCAATATGATAGAGGCTAATACAGTAAACAAAAGGGTTTACTGAGAAATTCACTAATGGCATGACCGGCTTGGCCAGCCTGGTTCTAACATGATGCGTAAAGCTGATATTAAAATCAAAAGGGCACACTCCTTAAGGACCTCACGTGTGCAGCATGTACACAAGGGAAACCCATACTAAGGTCATCACCAGTCAAAGCAACTAGAAACTTGGTGTTTGCTAGATTGCTGGCCCAGACCATAAGTCTGTGAGCCCACATACTTAAGACTATATGTCTAGATAATGCTGGTAAATTATGTCTCAAGCGTTTTATGGCTACAATATGTCCATGAGGGGGAGAGTAGTATACCCCGTGGCACATGTCCATACTTGAACTGACAGTAGCTTCTTGGGGACACACAATATTACATGCAACAAGAGCTTATACGCATCAGGCCATTCTAGTGAGCATAGATATTCCCCATCCCAATTGCTAACGGGTCATGAGCCAGACGTTTCCCATCTTAAGACATTTGGGTGTTCAGTCTATGTACCCATTGCACCACCACAGAGAGCAAATGATGGGACCTCAAAAGGGGATGGGAATATACGTTAACAATGATTCTCCCACCATCATTAAGTATCTCGAGCCAAAGGCCAGATTCAAGGATTGTCATCTCAATGAATCCGTTTTCCCAACACTGGGTGGAGAGACTAACAAGCTGGTCAAAGAACTTACATGGAATCAAACATCCTTCACATGGCAAGATCCTCGGACTCCATCAGAGATCCAAAAGACTATATATCTGCAAAAGCTAGCTAAAACAGTTGCCAAGATTCCTATAATGACCCAAAGAGAGTAACAAAATCGTACATACCAGCTTGTAATGCACCAGTACGTATTGATGTTCACAAGGAACACAATCAAGTTGCTACAGAGGCTACAACACGTAAGAAATGTGGTAGACCCAAAAGGTTCCAAAGACAAGAACCCTCGGAAATCAAAGAAAGGTGCAAGGGAAACCGAGAAGGTTCAAGAAACCATAGACATGGCCGGCTAATAGACATAACCCTAAGGTACCAATCAATGAGGTTTGGGACGCCAAACCTCAAGGTCCTGAAGGTGTAAAGAGATCTCTATAAACTATATCATGTCTAGAATACAATGGAACCGAAAAGATGTCGACATCAATGATAAAATATTTGCGTACAAGGTAGCAACTGAAATGAATGAGGATCAGGAGCCCACGTCTATACTAGAGTGCACTCAAAGACCTGATTGATTAAAATGGTACAAGACCATAAAACGTGGAGCTAAGAATCATTAAGAAGAAGAATGTGTTTGGTCCAATACAAAGGACACCATTCAATGTAAAGCCAGTGGGACAAATGAGTCTTTGTGATTGTGTGAAATAAACATAGTGAAAGCGTAATATGTCAGACACGGCTTGTCGCACAAGGATTCACACAAAGACCAGAAATAGAGGAGATATTCTCCCCTGTGGTGGATGCTAAGACATTTAAATCTTTGCTAAGTCTGGCTATATAAAAGAGAAAGATTTGCGGCTAATAGATGTAATGTCTGCATATTTATATAAGTCCACTGGATAATATATGAGATTACCAGAGGGTATTGAGCTCAAAGATAAGAAAGATTCTCGAGAACAGCACTGCATAAGGCTGGACAAATCCTTATATGGACTGAAACAAAGCGGACATATGTGGTATAACCGGTTAAGTGAATATCTCATCAGAGAAGGCTATAAAAACGATCCGATCAGTCCATGTATTTTTATCAAGAAGTTTGCAAACAAAGGATTTGTAATCATAGAAGTGTATATGAATGATTTAAACCTCTGGGTAATCGCCCAAACAGTTGAGTATATCTAAAGAAAGAATCTCAAATGAAAGACCTAGGCAATAATTAAGTTCTGTTTGGGATTACAACCTGAGTACGTGAATAATGGAATCCTTGTGCATCAAATGGCATACACTGAAAGAGTACTCAAGGAAATTTAATAAGGACCAGGCCCGCCCATTGACCAGGCCCAATGGTGGTGAGAAGCCTCAGATTGGATAGTGATCCACTCAGTCCGGAAATGCCATACTTCAGTGCCATAGGAGTTCTAATGAATTTTGCTAGACACACTAGACCAAACATTTTTGCCGTGAGTCTCCTGTCTAAATTTAGTTCATGATCAACCCAAAGGCACTAGAAAGGTTTAAAGGAAGGTTTGATTAAATTTTAAAGTTTATTCTTCCTGCGTTGTTTACTTGGGTTTATTCTATACTGATCTAACCAAAGAAGATCCAGTTTGCTTTGGTTTAGTTTGATTTGCTGATGCAGGTTATTCATAAGATCAGATTATGGCATGGTCAATGAATAGGAACTACGTGTGGCTTGATCCCTTCCAAGGGTACGTAGGCAGCCTTCCTCAAGGCGCAGCTACTACTACTATTACTACTAATACTACTACTACTACTACTACTACTACTACATCATCAAAGACCATCATATTTGAAGACAACGCAGCCTGTATTGCTTAACTAAAGGATGGCTATATCAAAGGGGATCGAACGAAGCATATTCTGCCTAAGTTCATCTTCACTCATGAATTACAGAAGGACGGTCAGGTCAAAGTTCAACAGATCCGGTCAAGTGAGAATTCAGCCGACCTATTCACCAAATCATTGCCGACTTCAACGTTCCGGAAGCTCATTCATCAGATCGGGATGCGCGGACTTAAGGATCTACAGTGATGCTCAAATCAGGGGGAGTAATGCGTGTTGTACTCTTTTTCCTTCACCATGGTTTTGTCCCACTGGGTTTTCATGATAAGGTTTTAATGAGGCAACATTCCCCAGCGCATTATAGAGATCCCGGTTTAGTATCGGGCACGGTTATGTCTTCCAAGGGGGAGTGTTATAAACCATATGGATGGACTCCATAACCGGCCCATGGCCCATTAGGATTTTACCTTATTCTATGTATCCTGCTATTATCATTGTATATATATCCCTTATTCTATTAATGAGATGACACAGTTCACAACATAACAGAATTTAAATTATTATGCCTCTTTAAAAACGAGTTGTTGGAGACCAAGGCTTAATTACATTAATTACCACTCTAGTCGACAAAAACAAATTGGACCATTAAATTTTTTTTGTTTTTTTCAAGGTGAATTATATATGGTTGATTTCTTCACTTGCACATGCTAAAAAACGCTATTTCGCATTAAATTTCAAATGAAAAGGTAAGACACGCATAACGAATTAGAGTATCTTAAGGCCGTGAATGGAGAACACGTTTCGGGGCGGATCTTGTAAAACCGCTATTAGTAATGGGCCTAACTCAACACCCAAAAGCTAGTTTAAGGGAGGAGGTTTGCCTCATACTATATATATTGCCCAAGGATTTTATTTTTTTCCGATGTGGGACTCTAACACACCCTCCTCACGCTCAGGACTGGACATCCACGGATGGTAGCCCACTTTCAAGAAAGTTAAACCTTTGCTCTGATACCATATTAGTAATGGGCCTAACTCAACACCCAAAAGCTAGCTCAAGAGAGGAAGTTTGCCTCATACTATATATATTGCCCAAGTATTTTATTTCTTTCCGATGTGGGACTCTAACAACCGCACTTACATCTTCCATTCAACATAATTATTTGGTTATTTGCTGTTGTTGATTATAAAAATAAAAAAATTAATATTATTGTGGCGGTCTAACTTATAAGAAGAAAATGGTGTTTCCCATGTGGCTGTAGGAACAGACCAAAATATGGTGTGTTTAGATTTTTGAAGTGCGGTTTCTTTTGTTTAACTATTTTTTTTTAACTGAAAAATTCTGAAAAAATTATACAAATAAATGTTATCAGATTATCTATTTCAATTCAAAAAAAAATGCTTTCAAAATTTAAAGTGCTAAAAATAATTAGTCAAAGTTTAATAATTATTGTAGTTGTACCGCACTTGTAATATACACCATTTAAACATTGTTCCACACCACTTATTTTTTACTATCCACAGTTAATCTGCATGATGCGTTTCTCCCGCATGAACTATACTTAAACTGCACCGCACCCTTTAATCCGCTTGTCCCGCATCGCTTAATCCGCTGTCACATATATTTGGTTGGACACATTAGTTAGTACTCACAGTCTTTACAACAAGAGTTTTAATCAAAAGAAAAAATGATTTTAAGTTATGAGTGATTTCAAAATTTGGCTTACATCAATACATTTTAGAAAGGAGGGTTTAGAAATGGATTTAAACTAGAATTATATATACTTTTGGGAAAACATATATTAATGATAATTTAAGAAAAAAAAATTAACTACTATTTTTTATTTCACAAGACTAGTCCTGGACGTTCGGTTATCTGCTCGGTTATCGGTTCGTATCCATTCGGTTTCGGTTCTTTCGGTTCTACAAATTTAGTATCCATTTAGTTATTTTGCTTTGGATATTTTCGGATATTTCGGTTATTTTTTTGTATTTTCGGATATTTCAGTTATTTTTTGGTATTTTTGAATATTTTTACTATTTTTATATATTTTTAAGTATTTTTTTATTATTTGGTCTATAAATAACTAGTATTTTTGATTATTTGGTCTATAAATAACTAGTACTTTCAAAAATATAATTGTATTTCGGGTATTTCAGTTACCCGAAATATGTCGGTTCGGTACCCATTCGGTTACAGTTCTTTCGGTTATTGAATTTAATCATTCGATTATTTTCAAATTTTCTGTTCGATTTGGTTTGGTTTTTTTTGCTTCGGTTTCGATTTCGGTACATTCGATTCGGTTTATTTGCCCACCATATAAATACATAATTATACAACCTATATTTTGCCCCGTCGAATAAGCATATTTTGTTAGTTGCTATCTAAAACCTCGTAAAATAAGAGTTTTAAAATCTTAATATTAATACTAACTATTATTACAGTCACACGTCTTTTACAACTTTACGTGAGCTCCACCATCTTCTCCGATAACTTAGCCAATGACCTAAGATTACACTTAACGATAGTATTAGCAAACAACGTCGTTTCCTCATCAGTATTTCCTTCCGGCACATCCACCACATAACTCTCCTCCACCACCGTCTTCTCCTCCTCCGTCGCCACAAACACCATCGTCTTTGACCGGTAATTAACCAAACGATGATCACCACCAATAATGCTGATCACCATCACATGAGACTCATCGTCAAGTTCATCTAATCTTTCTAGGCTGAAACTCGCCGGAAAATCGGAAACCACCGTGACTTCACGGACAGAGCCTTCTCCTCCATCTCCCGAGCGTAGCTCGCACTTTTTCACGAACTGTTTATATGTTTTTGGGTTATCAAAACGACGTAGGATTGACCATACTAAAGGTAATGGAGCATTGATAGTTTGTACTAATGTCGAACCGCATACATGCTGTTTTTGAGACGTTTTCATTAGTGTTTGTTTAGTCTTTTACAATTTTGCTGTTCTACCGAGCGCTGTGGTTGTTGTCTTAAATATTAATGAAGTGGCAAGTTTTAGTATATATATGAGAAATATCTATAGGTCGACAAAAAGATGAGAAATATCAGTAGAATAAGGCCGACTGAAAGAAACATTATATTTATGAAATTGTGAAAGCATAACAAGAAAAATAATGTAAATATTCTATATGACATAATTACACATTCGAATAAAATATTTGGTTTAAGTAAATTGTGATATACATTCATGCATATAAAAAACAAAATACGTAAATTAAAACAGCCTGGCTAAGAAATCAAACAGTGTAGCATCTGATGTATAGTTATATATATAAAATTTTCTACATAATTTATTTTTGTGACAATCAATTGTATAATATATAGTTGTATACAAAACTATATATAAAGAACATTTTGCGGTTAAGTTTGGCAGATTATATGACATGGACTGTGGTAAAACTAGGGGCAAATAATTGTTCCACGTTGGTTCACACGTTCCACACTTTTAAATCACACATCTATAGTGTATTATAAGAAACAAATAGTTGACAGATGTTGAAAGAAAAGAAAAAAGTTGACAAAAAGAAAAATAAACAGGCCAAATGAGCCTAAAATTTATAGATCCATTTTAAGCCCAAGCTATAGTATCACTCTTTTAGTTTAGTTTTTACGTTGAGGCTGGTAGTTCATAACGAGATAAAAAGTTAAACCAAAATGTGATTCCGGTAAATATTACTTTTTAACACCTATAGTTTGAAAACAAGCTTGCCCACACAGCTGTAGTTCAGTGGTAGTTAAAAATTGGGGAAATATTTGAAGGAATTAACCAAGATTCGATCCATGCTGGAAACAAAAACTATATATGGGTGGAAAATCTGGGAATTGGGCCAAACAGTTTAATTACATAGTAGTCCAGTAACAGGTGATTTGACTACTCATGGCATTAGTCGGAAATCATTCCAAACTCGGGACAGACAGTGTGGTGGCCCTTTGGGGAGAAGTCTACTCTGAAACACTTCGGTGTGTTTCTACCGAGGCTGACCGTATCAGCCGATAGGGTTTATAAAAAAATAAAAATAAAAACAATTTTTTTTCAACTCCAAATTTTAATCTCATTTAAAAACATTGAGATTGACACTTGACTGGCAAAAGAGCCAAAATCTCAATCACAATCCCACATTCTCAGATCTGTGACGATTTTGATTCGAAACAAGGAGACATTTACGTTTTCACTCAATAGCGGTTATAAATTAAGTTGGTTTCGGCAAAGACTTTTGCTTGCAATTTAGTATTTGAGTTCTTATAGATTTAAAACTATTCCCGCAAACCAAATGTGTTCGTTTGCGACGGAATATTTAAACACTCTTATATCTTCTCTATTTGTCTTTTTTTTTTACCGGTTTTCGATCTATAGATTTTTTTTTTACTTAATGTATGATATATAAAGACTACAAGCTCTTACGACATTTATATTTGGCTTATATATCAATACATTTATAAAGAGTTTAGAAATGGACTCAAAGTAAAACTATTTAACCGGGCATGATGGCTTCAAAACTGTGTCCAAAAAATTGGAGAGTGTGTCCCCTTTTTTGTCCTCTTAATACTCTCTTGATATATATATCTTCCAAGAAAAAAAAAAATTACAAAAACATAAGAAAACTGATAACTAACGCAATACTACTCCCAGAAACATGACCAAAACTTCTACCATGGTGAAAAAAAATCCTATTTAGGATCTAAGTTTTCAAAAAGTTCATCTTGGATGTTCTAAGTCAAGAACAGCTAACCTAATGTATCTGATGGTCTTTAAACGTTATATCAAGTAAGAAGATTTTTTTTATTACTGTACATATTTGCGTTATCTAACGAATCCTCATTAATTAATCAAGCCATCCTAGATTAGTATTGAGATTTAATATTAGTGATAATATTATGTAGTTATCTTTTTCCTTTGATTTAAGATGACAACAAAAATAGATTAGTCAGTATTATCATAAAACTTCAAATTAGGAAAAAAAAACTTAGCCATTAGACCCAACGTAAAGCTACAAGTATACCAGACCTTAGATCTATATATATTATAAAATACATGGCCCAATTAAGAAACACGCGGATAATTACGCTTTATTTCTGAGTAAGTAAAAAGTTAAGCTCTCTATACACACATAAAATATAAGACTTAATTTAGTGGTTTGGGATTAGGTTAAAAAGCTATAGCCACACAACTTTTTCTTTCTCATTTACAATTCACAGTTTCACACACGAGTAAGCCTTCAAATTTATATTAAAAGGTAGGGGATAAAATAAAATAATCTTAATAATCCTAGCTGTGAAAAGTACTATTACCAGATGAGCAACATAATTTCTCATATGAGATTTTTTTTTCATGAATTTACCTCAGTCACCATTAGTTTTTTTTTAAAACAACTGGTCCAAGTAAATTTCTTAATTTTTGTTTTCTTATTGGATTGAAGTCTAATGATTGAGTGAAATCTAATAATGTGAATCAAGGAAATTGATTACCTTATATTGGAAAATATATATATGATCGAGATACAAGTGGACTAACGATTATGATTGTGACTCGAAGACTTTGAAATATCTCTCTTTACAACGACGTCGTTTCTGTTCTTCTTCCGTTTCCTTTTCTTCCTATACGGGATTCCACGAGCCTTAGCTTGAGACTCTCTCACTTCCCTCAAATGAATCCGAATCCACCCGTTTCCGAACGGGTTACTATGGGATGATCCACCACCATGTTCTTCGTAAGCAGCTCTTAACCGTCCGATCAAAGCATCTAAGCTTCCCCAAGCTTGCTTGAGAGGACAAGTGCAAGGCGACGGTGGATCGGGTTGTCCAAAGAAAACACAAGCTTGATTATGGACTTTGGTTTTACCGAATTGGTCTAAATAGTTGAGGAAGCTTAGGACGTGTGTGTGCTCGAATCGAGAGGTTGTTACGGGTGGGTTTAGGGTTTTGAGGTATTGTAAGAACGTGTTCCAATCGCGGCTTTTCTGCGATTCGTAGCGGCTAACTTGCGGTAGAAGCGGTTGTAGCTTGTGGCGACCGGAGTTAGAAGAGGAAGGTTGATCTGGTGGATTGTGAGAGGACATGGTAAGAGAAAGTTTTGTGTAGATGAGGAAAGGAAAGGAAAATGAAATTATTGTTGGGGTTAGAAGTAAGAGAAAGAGAGATCTTGAAAAAAAACTATTAGGGAATATATGGATAGATATTGGCCAAAAAAGAGAAGAGAATAAGTAGATAAATATAGGTTTTATATTTTAAAAGAAGAAAATATTCACTAGGTTTCATTCATATCATGCGAATATATCAAAATTCTTATTTTAGTTTGATTGGTTAATTTCAAATTCCGACATAATTATCTAGGTGGACCTATATATATAGGTATATAATTATAAAGTAAACATATGCCAATATTCAAATTAAATGCAATAAAACCATAATTCAAAACTGGAAATTTGTTTAATTTATTTAAAGATTGAAAATTTTGAAATTTAAATATTGACATATGTAAAACATTTAATCAGTTAATTAATAAATGCCGTAATCTAGTTAACTAGACCTTTTTTGTTATGGATTCTATTGAAACGCACCTAACTTTATCAAGTGTCAAAATTTAATCAAAAATTAACATGTATTGTAATATAGTTAATTAAAATTTCTTCATGCGTTGAAATCTAACGAAACATGTCTAATTTTATATAATTAGATCTATATGTAATCATATAAAAAGTAAAATAAAATTTCTATAAATTAATAACGTTTGACTATAACATTTTATTTATCTATACAATTATTAGTTTATTGATCTATTAGCTGATCCAGGAAAAAAATAGTAATAGTATAGTGAGTTTATTTCCAAAAATAGAACAAAAATGATAAAATATTTTTCAAATTTACCTTTGATAGAGAACAAAAATTTAAGTTTTTTTTTTTAACACCACCAAAAAAAAAAAGTTTAGATTAACTACTTTCTAGTAGAATTTTATATATTTGTTTGAAATATGTAAACACATGTACTATCTGAATTCGAATAGGGCCAAATTAAAGGCAGATTATTCAACCACATAGTACCATAATATTGGCAAATTGTCTGTTTTAAAGTAGGATTTAAACATCTGTCTAGAAAGTCTAGTGTACAAATTAAATTATAAATATGTCTGATTGATACAAATGAACCTTTCAGTCTTTTGTGGGTACCATTAAAACTTATAATGATGAAACCTAGATATTTTTAAGCTCCAAACGATATTGATCTCTTATTATTTTTAAATAACTAACTTGGCTATCTTTATAATTTGAAACAGTTGCCCAGCCTATCATTGAGCAAGGACCATATTTATATGATTAGTTTTTTCTTCTTCTTTTTTTTTTCAAATTATATTAACATTAAAAATTTTACACAAAGTATTATTATTTTACAAACTGAAAGAAATTTAAGAGAATATATTTTATTGAGTGGGATTGAGGTGACCTGTCATTGTTGGACACACGAGAAGGTGCTTTCTTTCCATTTATGCATATTTTCTATAATTTCTTAATAACTTTTTATTAATTTGATTTTAACTATTTTATTCATATATTTTTATATTTTTTTCTCATGGATGGACCTTTCTACACATTATTATGCTGTAAATTTTAATAATGATTTTTCCAACTGATTAATTTTAAAATGACTCATACTATCGTAATATTACTATCTAGCTCGAGCTTTTCATAACGCATAAAAACATATTTTTTAAGCTATTTATTGTACCACTAGCAAATAGCAATGCAAATCAATCATTTGTATTACGCTGGTATTTAGAAGTTCTTTCTTATTATGACTCGTTGATTAGTTCATCAACTTGCTTGTCTTAGTGGTTGTTGTTGAATTAATATAGTCTAGTACATAAACTATATAGATACCTAATATTTAAATCATTCTTGTAATAATCACAATAATGTAGCTTATAACGTCGTTTTCGTCATTGTCATTTCATCGCCATCGTAGCAGCAACAACAATAAATCGACGAAATATCTAAGCAACCTCGGAGATAATCATAGGTATATCATACGTAAATTCCAGATAACTTGATTAGGTTTCTTATAAAGATGTCGCCTATAATAAGCATATTTGTTTTTGTCAAAATGGATAATTATTTAAACATATTTTAGTCTAAAGTGGACGACGCACAAAATCAAGATCATCTCCACTATTTGACCTACGAGTTTCCATGGCCGCACCAAAAAAAAGGAAGAAAATAAAAGAATATATAATATATGTAATTATGTAAAAGCCCGGGATCTAAAAAGGTACGTAGCATGACTATTTGAGGATCATTTATTTTTGGTGGAATTGTTTTGAGGATCATTAAAGTTAGGGAAAAATCCTATAAACAATCACAAACTATTTATATCTACTAGATGAATTCCCATGCTACGCGTGGGTTTGTTTTGAAAATTGTTAAGATAAAAATATGTTAATTGTTTTTGTTGCTAATTTATGTTTATTTTTCTGTTTGTTATTGTATACTTAATAAAATTAGACTCATCTTATGTACTTAAAATTTTTATTGTTAGATTTGTTTTTGATTCTAAATATCAATTTTTACATTTTCATTTATAATCTGATTATTTTTATATCTAAGATTCTAGTATTTGTTCATTATCATGAATACACACAACAAGAATATAAGATATTTTGATCTCAAGAGTTTTCGTATGAAAAGAAGAAAAAGAAAGCAAAAATTAAAGAGTTATTTAAGTAACAATTTTAGATTTTATGCTATTGCATATAATATGAGACTTTTGATTTTCTCTCAATTAATTTTGCTGATTTTTAATTTAAATAATGTAGAATGACACATGTCATTTTCTTGGGTGATGATGTGTCACTCATATGGAGAGAGTTGACCAACTTTTATGTATATGATTACTTTTTTTTAAAATAGTTTTTGTTTGAGTTTGCAAAAGTTATACATGATCAAAACATTTACCTCACTAATTGAATTTTTAAATTCATCCCCGTAAATGTATTTTACACTCCAAACTTAATTTAACAGAACTTAAAAAGTTATCAATATGATAGCCAAGAAACAAGACAAAACTCTAAACAACAACGTTACATTTGAAAGTTTAGTAAATATAAACATCCAAATGCTAAAAAAAAAGAAAAAAACATTCAAATGCTTTAGAGGTTAAGTGACAAGAATATCCAAAAAAAAAATATATATCCCTTGTTAAGTTGTGTTATATAAGTATGAGCACATCAATGGAATAATCAAGAAGCCGAAAATGTCTAAAAAGCATGAAAATTATAGTTATTAAAATAAAGATTGAAAATATTTTTTTAAAAAAAGATTAAACATATAAGGACATTAGTTAGACAAGGACATAATAATTAAAAGACACAAATATTCGGACCACGTAAAAATATATATGCTAAAACATGGAGGTATATACACCTTAATTTGTCGGGAAAAAGTTGGCCGACGGTGACAGCTGGTCAGATTCCGGTGATCGGAAAACCAGAATCCGATGACTAGAAGTATAGAACCTTGAAGCTTTATATAAATTGGACAAGATATGTAAGAGAAGATCTTGAGTGGGGGTAATATCTATTTTGACAAAAAAAAAAAATATATCTATTTATTTCTATATGCTTTTAGTCTACAACATCAATATATAATCATCCACTATATAACCAAAAGATAAAAATAGTCCACTCACGTGGGACATGGGTCCATATGTTTCACCTGGGATCATACTTATGAAATTATTTTGTTATTAAATTCCTTACGCACAATGTCATTTAAAAAAAAAAAATTCATATTAAAGTAGGTGGATCGTATTCTTGTTTTTAGTTTATCCCCTCCATTATAAATTTGTGAAAACATTTTTAATCTATTGACTGATTGATAAAAAAAAAAAAGATAAAATGAGATTTTAAGACTTATAAATTTATACTACTACATTGAAAAGTTAATTATATAATTTTTTATTAATGTTACAATTTAATAAAATGCTACTGTAATCGAAGAAATAAACATTGAAAATGTACAAATTTGGAGTTCTTCGGAGCTGTAAGAAAGTGGCAAACCAAAAAAAACAAGAAACGAGGGACCGGGATAAAAAGTAAATTATCGGAACGAACATGTTAAGCCGGATTTAGGCCCATATAACATGTTTACGTTCGAAAAATCGTTATGACAAATGAAAACCATTACCAATATAACAACAATAAACATACCATGAAAAACAGACAAAGGGTTTTAGAAACAAAAGTGAAAGAATTATATCGAAAAGCTTAAACTAGGACTAGGAGTCTAATTTACCCTTCCCTATTTTTTAGATCTTCACAAGGTTTCAAATCTAAAATCCAATTTTCTACATTAAATTTCTTTTTTTCTTTTTTTCAGCAATATGCATTATTAGTGTTTTGACTCTCATTCTCATTAATTAGAATATGATTACAATCAGAGTATTTATATACAAATTACTTAACTAAACCAAAGCCTAAACCAGACTATACATAGTTAAACCAAACTGTACCAACATTAATATATACAGATGAACTATATAGAATGATACATTATGTGAGTTTGATGAATGTGAATAAACGCAATATATAACAACACTAATACAAACCACTATACATATCCAAGGAAAAATAAACTTCTATTACTAATGTTAATTTGTAATTAATTGATAATAACCTCACCCTAATTACTTTACTATACCATAACCATGTATCACTCATATAAAAATTAACAAAAGGCGATAAATTAATGATGATATCATTTTGTAGTAAAATAAACAACTTGATTGATCACATTCACAACCAAATTACTTATGTTTTAGACAAACTTTTTTTCCTTCTAAATTTGGTTATTTTTTTTTATAAACTAATAATAAATAATTTCCTCAACCGTATGTAATTAAATTACATTCTTTTTACTATCGAACAACAAAATATATATTACTCACACATCAAAATAAACAAAACCAAAACGCGAAAATTAATTAATGATGATATTAATTCATTATAATGATAATAAACTTGATAAAATTAAGCAAATAGAAAATCTCTCATGTCATATATGTTTTTTTTTTCTCTTTCTTTCGCTTAGAATGTGACGTCAGGGACAATACCAAGCTCCTTGAAAGCAGCAGGACAATCAGCCAATGGAGTCTGAACCATGAAACCGAGAGGGTTAACGATACGTGTCTCGTGAGAGACGATTCCGTCATTCGCCGTTAAACTGATCTTAGCGGCGTTACGTAAGTAAGCCTCTTTGCTGACGTCACTGCAACCACTGTCTGGTGATTGGACCAAAACAAGCTCGCAAACTTCTTCCTCGTGGTCACCAGTTACTTCCATCTTGTAGCTTCCTGTTTTGTCGGTAACAGCTTCTTTGGTCAATGTTACGGTTCCGTTTGTTCTGCTCCTGCACTCCAACTTCACTTTCGCACCTTCACAAACACACACAACAATTGTAAAAATAATAATAATAAATAGTTCGACTATAAATAGTTTGTTCGAGTGGATGTAAAATGGATCAAGATCACGGATCGAATTTTACTCTCTGAAATTTTCATCGTTTTCTTTTGACCACGGTAAATGTTTTAAATGGCAAAATATTCGAATTTCTACAGACCAAAAGAATTAGTTTGGGTAAAAGATCTATCTCCGCTTAAAGCAAAAAAAATACAAATAATATTGATCTAAGCGAAAAGGATATATTTTGGAGATTTGAATATGTTAAGGTTAGACTCGCTTCATGTCTAACGTAAATTTTAGAAACTGATGTACGAGAAATTTGAAAAATGTAGTCTAAAAACATTGCATCAAATTATTCGAATTTAGACACTGATATAGCTATTTTACGACATTGCATGCATCCTCTAACATGCAAGAAGTGTGCGTACGCATATATATATATATGCATGGCCAAATCAAAACTATAAAGTGACATGATATTTTTTTATTAAACGTAAAGTGTTCTAGATCAATTTTCTTTTCAATGCAACATTTGCATGTGGTAAAAAAAGCCATGCATACATGTATATTAATACAGATCTACCTTCGAGGAATTTGCTGAGACGGGTAACGAATTGGACACGGCAAGTGTCACAGTAAACTGATCCCTGAATCTGGAAACGATCGAAGTCATCAGCATCAGCGGCGGCGAAACCGGCGAGAGAAGACAAACACACGGCGGAAACAACAAAGAAAGAGAAGAAGATAGCTTTGGAAGCCATTTTTGTTAGAGATTTTTGGTTTTGTTTTTGGTCTTCTCTTCTTTTTGATATCTCTTTTTATATTCAAACAATAAGTTGAGATATGTTTGAGAAGAGGACAACTATTCTCGTGGAGCACCGAGTTTGGTTTTATATTAGAAGCCCAATTGTTATTTTTAGATTGAAACAAAAAAGTAAAATCGTTGATTGTTAAATTTCAAAATTAGTTTCAATACGTTTCGAATAAAAGAATGATTAGTTTATTATACCTTAATTATAGCATTGATTTCTAAATTTGTTTTTTTGACCGCCCTTTTTTCTCTCTTTGGTGCAGTGTTTTCTTAAAATTAGAAGAACCCATAACTTTTAGTTTACGGTCAAATTGAATAAAAACAAATTTCTATGTTTTATAGACGAAACTTGTTCTTTTAATGAAAACAGTTGATTATGAATTATTTTCATCAGTATATCGGTATTTAAATAACATTTTCTTCACATGGTATTCATGAAGTGATAAAATGTGTTTAGAATATGACATTAAATTTTTTGAATGATTAATGGGTTAGTATCTTTTGGTCATACCGAGTATTTGTATTATAGCTTTGGATCTCTCGAGAATTTGTTGGGGCCATATTAGTTAATTATATTTGGGTTTAATCGTTTTGCAAAGAGACGAAGAAGAAAGATTGGGCCAAGTCAACAAAACAGAGAGACGTCTCTCAATTGAGTAAGATACACATGCCTTCAATCGGAGTTCTATCCGGAAAATAGATATGAAATTAGGGCCAACGGTAAGTTACACAGCTAGCGGCTATGAATTTAGGGCAGAAGTGTTAAGCTTGAGGGTTTAATTTGTGGCTAGATGATGGAGTTAGTGTGTATAAGAGATTTTAGGGCAGAATTGTTAAGCTTGAGGGTTTTCGAGCAAGTGTTGAAATGAAAAGAGATAGAACAAAAGAAAAAAGAGAAAATAAGAAAAGAGCTCGAAAAAGTGAAAAATTGGCTAAGTAATTGGCGGAGTAAGTGAAAAAGGTTTCCCGCTTACTAAAACTATATCTTAGCGTTTATGCACTGCTATAATATCAAAACCAAATTACAACTTTATTTTCGATAGCAATTTCGAAAATCGTGCTATAAAACAGTGCTATCAATGTGAGCTTTTTTTTGTAGTGGACACTTGGTACCTTTGGTTCAAGGAAAAGTCGAGGTTATTGTGATTTCATTTGTATTTGGCTAGGGCGATTCCTTCACAAACATTTACATCTCGTTTTTTCTGCACAAGAATGTGTCTTTATTTTTTTGTATGTTTGTGTAAGAAAAATCAATATCTCACTACAATATAAAACAATATTTTTTTATTATTATTCTTTTTTTTATAAATCCTATTGGCTATCCGGTCGGCCCCGGTAGGAATGCACCGAGGTGCTACATAGTGGACTCACTACAAGAAAAAAGCTAAATTCCAACATCCATCTATGTTGTTAATTTGTAGGAATTATATGTTTCCAATAAATTTTCAATAGAACATATATTTGTTGGAATATGATCGTTGGAAATCTACATTTGTCACGAATTTATTGGAAACGTTTCCATCGAGTAATTCTATGACCAATTTGTTGGATAGTTCTGATAATTTTTTTGTTGGATATTTGTTGGAATTTACCGTGAAGTTTCTAACGAATTGTTCCAACATATATTTTGTTGGAATGTCATTGATAATTTGTCACAAATATTCAATAATTCTGAAAGTTTGTTTATGGGAAACTACTAATAACATATTTGTTGCAACTTTGTTGAAATGTTTTCTTGGAAACGTGTGAGAAATTTCCGACGCCTTATTTGTTGGAACTTCATAGAAATTTATTGATAATTTAATTGTTGAAAATTTATTGCTATTTTTCTTGTAAATTTGTGAAAAACTTCTAATGATTTAATTGTTGGAATTTTATCAGAAATTAATCGTTGAAAATATGTTGATATATTCTACTAAGTTTCCAACAAAATGTCTCATGAACCATTTATCAACTTTTTGTTGGAATATATTATTTAGGTAATTTTTAATAAAAATATTATAAAATTAAGAAATAAATAAAAATAAAAATAAATAATAAAAATAAATATCATAATAAGTAAACATTTTAAAATCTCAAAACACTTAAACATCCAAACATAATATTGAAAAACAATCCTAAATGCTTAAAGTCTTAATGAAACCAAATTACTAATTGAATTCAAAGACCACCATTGGTGTTCATTGTTGTTATCATGGAAGGTGGAACTTCATTTGGAAACTTGTTCTGCATCATAGTAATCCAAAAATCAACATCTTTAAACTTCAGCAGCATTCCCTCAATCACTTGGTCCGATTTCTGGAGCTTTTCTTGAGTCTCAAGATACATTTCTTCATAATTTGGAGATGCATCAACACTAGGATCAGCTTCCGGAATTGAACCATAGCCAAATTTCTTGCCTTTCTTCACTTGAACTTCCTGGAATTTCAAAATTGCATGTTACAATTCACATAAGAAAAAAGTATTAAAAACATAAAGTATGGTTAAAAAAAAAACACATGAAGTATAATTAAAAAAATAATAGAAGTTTCAGCATTTTACCCCTTGGTAAATGGCATCAATTTCTTCTTGTGTAAGATGGTTAGTGTCCAAAGTGTCACCATCATCATTGTCTCTTTGACTAAGAATTTGGTGCTCCATGTTTCGACATTTTTTGGCGATCAACTCAGCTTTTTTGCACACAAATACACCATCAGACTTTCTCTTATGGGTTGCTTCCATAAAAGTAACCATATCTGGGAGCTCTCCTGTCACCTTATCACGCTAAACAGTTTTGAAACACACAAATATGTCATTATAGAAAACTTGGACTGAATTTGATAGAAACTATATCGAATGCAAAAAATAAAACAAATTACCATCTCTTCTCTTCTCCGGACATATGGCATTGACCCACATGTGTGCTTAGCTATCCCTAAGCCACCACGATCGCTCTTCTTATTTTTGGAGTTGGTTTTGCTTCTCTTGATGCTTTTCTCGTTTTCCCAGAAAGCAATAAGACCAATCCAAACAGAGTTTAACATCCATTGGGGCTTCCCCTTGTCTTGCTTCCATGCCTTTTTCCATTCATGGACATATCCCAGCAAACGAGATGCACACAAAGTCTCAAACTCATGTTGAACAAGTGTTGTTATCTCATAACGCCAATTATACTTTTGCTACAAGATCAAATAAAAAGAATGAAAATCAAATAGATAACAATGTCTAAATAGTAACACTAATTATAAAGACTTTGACAAAACAAATATAGAAAAAACATACCGCAAATGCTTTGAACCAACGTAACTTGGTATCGCTTGAGAGTGTTGACCAATTAGGAGCCACTTCTTTGAAATCGCTCTCCACAATTTTTTTCACAGCCTTAGTAATCCCCTTGGTGTATTCAAACCTTGTATGTTAATAAATATAAGAGTAGTTATATAAACAGGAAATCAACGCTAATGATCATAAATATAAATCAATGATACGCTTGTTCTAATAGCTCTGTTTATGTGGCTTAGACATAGTGTAAACTTTGTAACTAATTAAGTGGCTTAGACATAGTGTTTGCACATAGAATAATCAAACTCGGCTGTAATGAATCTACTATCTTAGATTAAGAAAAAAAAAAAGGCATGTTAGGTTTCGTTGACTTCTAATTCAACATAAACTAATCTATCATGACAACTCATTCAAGTCATTCACGGACCACATTTTTTCTCTAATCTTACTAAGAGAACAAAAACTCAGAGAATAAAGTTACAGAATTAAAACAGAAGTTTAAGTGGAATTTACCATCCATCACCATTCATTCTTCTCGGATCAAGTTTTTTTAGGCTTGCACGGCCTGCAGATCGAAGCAATTGGTCCAGAGTCAATAAATCTGCTGGATCCGTTGAGCTTTGTCCATTTGTAGGCGTCTCAGGTACTCTAGACGGTTCTCCAGCATCTGTAGGGGAGTCACTCATCTGTTGAGAACTCGAGCCCAATAGGTTTTGGTCCATCCTTCGTCTATAAGCCATATAGTCATCCCAAGTCCCCATGTCTACATGAGTTCATGAAATAGATAAAGAAACTCAGTTACAAAGTTCGAAATTAACAAGAAAATTCATCAACAAAGCCAGTTTTATGATCAAAAAAGTAATAAAATTACCTGTAGAAAAGAAGAGTTACGGTGGTGAGACGTGAAGAGTAGTAAAGAACTTGTGGAGTGGGGATCGCTAAATAAAAATTAGGGTTAACATAAGAGGTTATGGGTATTAATAGTTGTGGTAAAACCAACCGAAATTAATGGGATATATTCTCTAAACAAATTTTCTAAAAAAACAGCGGCAATTTCTAAATTTCTGTAAAAATAATAAGCGGCAATTTAGAGAATAAGACATTTTAGAGGCAATTATCTCCATACACACAACTTTTTCAATCCTAAAACCATTATAGAATTCAAGAACGAGCTAAAGATTAGATCAAAAGAGAGAGAACACTGCAATACCACTAACAAACATAGTTTACAATCAGAAGCTAATCCTAATTTCATTCTAGATTCAAATCAAGTAAGTAGCTTTGGCTGAATCCAGCAGTCCACAATGTAAGTATCATTAGATAGATGAAAACAGAACAAACCAACCAATACCATTATAGAGCAAAATCCAAATCTACGACTTAATTGTCAAATTTAAAAACTGAAGAATCATGTATAAGGTTCAAAGTGTGGCATGTTGCTCATAGAACCACCAGTTTAGGCCATCAAAATAAAGTTCAAGCTTCAGCTAATTCAAAGCTACACCGAAAAACGTATTAAAAGAATGACATCGAGTGAACGAATGTACTAACCGTTACACTTTGAGCAGAGAGCATTCCTAGAAAGTGAAAGCTTCTTCATTGTTCAAGGTACAATCCTCAAGAGAAACCTTCAAATCATTCAAAAGAAAATTCTTAATTATGATATAAAATTAAGAAACTCTCAAGACCACAATCAATCAAAAAATCACAACAAACTGAGAAACCCCAAATCGAATTTGAAAAAATCTTCATAAACAACACTTTTCACATAAAGCCGACAGATTCAATGAAAGAACAAACCTTTGTTCATAAACAATACCTCTGTTCTTGTTTAATCAAGTTAATAACAACAATTATGAATAACCAAAACCAAGATTTTGAATAACCAACATCACTGTTGGAAATCAGACTCAATTTCACACTGATTTGCTTTCTTCGATTATTGCGATTACGTGATAAAACATAAACTAAGGACACAAGAGATTTACGAGTTCCCTCTGTTGCAAACCGCAACTTTGAGGTACGTCTCGGTGAGGTATTGCTCCTCACAAGCCGAATCCACTATCCAATGTTTCAAGAGGTTACAATGGTGCTCTTCAATGGAGATCCCTCACACTAACTCTCTCTATCTAAGAAGACGAAGAATAAGAAGATAAAGAACAAGAAGGACCTGAGAATTACTCTCTCTCACTTCTCTCTCTCTCTAACTCTCACCAAGAAACCCAGAAAATTGAGAATCAGAATCTTGAATCTTCTCGTCTGGTACTGTATGTGAAGAAGAAGCTTCGAGTCTCTCTTAGAGAGCTAAAACGGCATCGTGTCGTTTCTTCTCACCTCCACTCACGTGACTCTTTATTCTATGACTTGAGACCCTCTCTTTCCACCAGTAGCTTCTTCTTAATCTTCTTTCAAAACGTTCTGACTTAGCTCTCTCCAACATGCTAAATGAGTCTCAAGGTTGGATCATACTTCAACATTCTCCACCTTGATTCAAGCTTGAAAGACTTCATGTGAGCAGCCCCTCAGAACACTTTTAACCATGCTCTATCTCGGACTTATTAATCTGCAAGATTGTAGTATATCAAACTCACGATTCGGTTTTTTAGTGTTGTTAGCGACCAAAATTCTAAAGAGGGATTACCTTGATACGGAGCCTTTCTGCGACTTCAGATTGTTCATCATATTCATCTACCACCTGCAAATAGCATTTGAGCTATTAATGGACTTTTTCACTACTTCTCGCTTGTTTGAATCGAAGATGAGAAATCAAATACTCACATTATGCTTAAGGAAGATAACAGGAGCTACAGTGATATATCTGCAAATGAGAATCAAAAATGAAAATTGAGAGGGAGAGCCAAAGAAAGGGGTCATTTTTGCAGCAGTGCGATAAAAATCAACCACGACCAGAGAATTAGATAAATTTGAGGACTGGAACTACCACTAGTATTAATCTGCAAGATTGTAGTATATCAAACTCACGATTCGGTTTTTTAGTGTTGTTAGCGTTTTCCTGACTTAAGCTTTTTGCTCTCCCATGCTGAAACGTACAACCCATTGCAATGTTTATACTCATACCTGCAAATAGCATTTGAGCTATTAATGGACTTTTTCACTACTTCTCGCTTGTTTGAATCGAAGATGAGAAATCACCTACTAGAGAGTCCTGAGTATCCAAGAGAGCTACAGTGATATATCTGCAAATGAGAATCAAAAATGAAAATTGAGAGGGAGAGCCAAAGAAAGGGGTCATTTTTGCATTATTTTCTAAAAATAAACGTTCTCCCTGAACAGTCTGATAAATTTGAGGACTGGAACTACCACTAGTCAGAGGAATGATAGACATGAATAAATCCTAGAAGCTAGATTAGTAATACTGCAACACATTGATATAAAGGATATGTGGCAGTACATTAAGAAGACTTGACATTTGCAGATATTATTCAACTCCACAAACAATAGTCAGTCTCATAAGCAAACCAAGCAGGGACCCTTTAAGTGAACTCAGGCCTGAAAGATAGCTCTCGTAAATGGTTGATTGGCCTGAAACGAAGGATTCAATGGTGAGGCATGAAATAGCCAAAACAGATATATGACATGTAAAGGCAACAACTTTGAATCCGAGTACAACACAGAATTATAAACAGTACAACTTCAACGCATCTGAAGCATAAATTTCAAGCAAAATCTAAACCCTTTCACCAACTAGATGGGAATTAAGACAAAACTGGAATGAACATTCTAATGTCAGCAATCAGATTGAGGATTCAATTGAAAGATCAACCATCCCCAAAATCGGCAAAAAGACAAAACCCTAAAGCAATCAGATTTGTAATCTACAGCCAAACGAAGCAGGACCTGTCAACGCTATGGACCCAAAGGATGAAACCAAAAAAAAAAAAAAAACAATCTTGAAACTCCAAGGATCGAAATTTCGAAACAAAGTTGCGTTCTTTTGTAGTAACACACAAACCTGCAACACACAAACTCCAAGGTTAAAACCTGCAACACACAAACTTGTGCTTTGCAAAACTCTTCATTGATACTTTTAACCTCTTTAACCAGGATACCTGAGATAAAACCACTCAGAACAAACCATTGTCAATAAAGAACCAGCTAGTTCATAAGAAAACCACTTCTGAGTAATCAAACAATCTCTACTCTATGGTTCTTGTGAACTCCATAGAAGATTGTTCTAGTGACTAAATCAAACCTTAAACTCTCTGCTACTTAATTCAAAATGTCGACCTTTTGAATCATAAACAGAATTTCCAAAATCGTAGATTACTCCAATACCTGAAACAATCTTTGATTAACCTGCAAAACACAATCTCAACAACAACTTGTTAGTCATTAAAATAGTAAACTTGAGATTGTACTTACAGAAGATAATTTAGATGAAATCGAGAGCAATGAACTCAAAAACTCAAAACGAAATCGCAAAATCAGTGAACTGAAACACAAGGGGAGAAGAAAGTGACTAAACAGAAAATGTATCTGAATGAACCAAAAAAGACAAGCAAATCGTAGAAGGAACAAAGAGCTCACAAAAAAAAAAAAACAATAGTTCTACTCATGATCATCTGAATCTGATGAGTCGCTTGACCTACTTGAATTGTCAGAATCGTCAAATTCATCTGCATTGTCATCACCACCTACACTAACATCATCAAGATGGAGATTTTCAACATCAACCAATATAGTGTTTTCAAGAGAGTGTTCAACCACACTAATAGAGTCTACAGAGTTTTGTTGCATCGGATCGTGGTCCTTCACTCCATCTACTCTTCCTCTTGGATTAATTTGTGTAGCTGTGATCCACGGATCGTGGATGCGTTTAACTCTAGGATATGGAATATAGCACACTTGATCGACTTGGGATGCAAGAACAAATGGATCATACTTATTCAGCTTTTTCGACGAGTTAATCTCCGTAACGCCAAATTTGGTAAGTCGAACACCACGTTCCCTTGTAGGATCATACCACTGACACTTGAAAAGCACACATTTTATGAGTCCAGGATATTCGACCTCTAAAATGTCTTCTATCACACCATAGTATTCTTCATCCATCGTACGCACAACAACTCCATGGTTGACGGTCTGTCTATTTTTTGAGGCAGTCCTTCTCTTAAATACATATCCACGAGTACAATATATTGGCGATGAAATCGTCTCAGAAAGTGGTCCTCCTACTAACTCTCGAAGCCACGTTGGAACTGGCTCACCCAAAGAAGACGCTGATTTAACCTACAAATATGAATTAACAGTTTAGCAACTTAGTACAATCCAATTAAAAAAACAAAGAGGTTTTCAACTCACATAGTATTTTAGCCACTTCGGAAATTCTTCTTCTTTCATGATCTCTATTTCGTTATCACTTTTCTGTGGATATGAGCTCTTGATATTTTGGACAAATTTTCTGAAAAAGTTACCCATCAAATTAATCAAAAAAATCTACTCAAAATAAATATATAGAGAGAATTAAAATACCTCTCATATGGTAATACTTCTTCGCAATTACGAAGTATATAGTTATGCACATGTTTGTATTCTTCATCTGTCAACCAAACTGACTGTTGTTTTCCGCTAAACCGCCCAACTTCTGTAAATATTTTTGGGATATCGGTGTGGTAAGAAGGTTTCTTACCGCCATCATCATAGCGGCCTGGTTTTCTAGCTTTTGTTTGAACATTAGGTGCGAAGTAGTACGAAGAAAAATATGAAGTCTCTTCATTTATACTCTGCGCCACAATAGAACCCTCGACCTTGCTCAGATTTTTCACTTTCTTTTTAAGATGGAACATGAACCTTTCGAATGGATACATCCACCTATACTGAACAGGTCCACCTAGCGCTACTTCTCGAGGAAGATGAACCGGAAGATGTTCCATAACATCAAAAAAAGATGGTGGAAATATTTTTTCTAAATTGCATAAGATCAAAGGAATGTTCTTATCTAGGAGAGCTATGCCATCGGCTGTGAGGGATCTTGAGCAAAGGTCTCTGAAAAATGTACTTATCCCTGCAGTAATTTTATATATTTATTAGTAAACCTGTAAATATGTTTTCATAATATATATATATCTAAGTAAAATAATAGTTAAGTTAACAGTACATACCGGCTATTGCTTGATGAACATTTTTGGGTAAAAGTTCAGCCAATGCGAAAGGAAGCAAACGTTGCATAAAAACATGGCAATCATGACTCTTCATTCCAGAAAATTTGCCGTTGTTAATATCTACGCAACGCGAGAGATTAGATGCATAACCATCAGGAAATTTAACACTATTGATTATCCAATCAAATAGCGCTTTCTTTCCCTTTGCATCTAATCTGAAGATTGGAATTGGACCTTTTCCATTGTCCATAACATATAGCTCAGGACGCTCACATATATCAGGAAGGTCCAATCTCGATTTTAGATTGTCCTTTGTCTTGCCTAGCACATCCAAGATTGTATTTATGATATTGTCAAAAAAGTTCTTCTCAATATGCATCACATCTAGGTTATGCCTTAGCAAATGATCCTTCCAATACGGTAAATCCCAGAAGATACTTTTTTTGTGCCAGTTATGGTTAAGACCATACCCATATATAGGATCATGTCCATTACCGCCAACATCGGTTGTCTTAAAAACACCAAAATCTCTGAATTGTGTCAGTATATCTTGTTCTGATAACATCGGAGGCGAGTCATCACTCACCATTTTGTTTTTTCTGAACACATTCCTACTTCGCCTATATGGATGATTCTTTGGTAAGAACCGTCGATGACAATCAAACCAACAAGATTTTTTTCCATGCTTAAGCTGAAATGCATCTGTAGTATCCTGACAGAAGGGACATGATAGCCTTCCATGCGT